AGAAATTTATCTTTAAAGAGAGATTAAAGAATGAAAAAAACTACTCCAATTAAATGGGATAAGGAAGCAAGCAGGAGTCACTATCATAATATCTGGCAAAACAGACTTCAAACTAAAGCTAATCAGAAAAGACAAAAAAAAAAAAAAAAAACCTCTACATTCTACTCAAGGGAACAACTAAACAAGAAGACATTATAATCCTTAAACTCTGGTGCACCTGTTTTCAGTAAGAAGCTACTACCTACCAGAATTAAAAACAGATTAACATCAGTCCATTATTAACAACCCATGTAGAACCACTAGAGCCTACAAACAGACAAAGTACTCTTCTGAAAGAAGAATGAAACTGAAGGCAATATTTTCCTGGCTTCAAGATTTATTGAAAAAGCCATAATAATCAAAATATCATAGAAATATCATAAAACAGACATGAAACAGCATAAAGAGCTGAAAAATAAATCCACATTTATTATCAATTGATCTTTGACAGGAGGTCCAGGAATACACAACAGTTAAGGGAGAACTTCTCCAAATGAAACAACTTCTCAATGAAAACAATTAAACTAGATTTCTATCTCATAATTTAACCAAAAACCAACCTAAATGGACTAGTAACTAAAACATAAGACATGAAACTATAAAACTAATAAGCTAATAAACCAATAAAACAAATAAACTAATGTAAGTGAAAAACAATATTGGTTTGTGATTAACTATATTTTTGGATTTGCTCTCAAAAGTAATCACAACATTCCCCCCACCCCACCCCCCAAAAAAAGAAAAATACCATTACATCGAGCTAAGAGGCTCTGCACAGCAAAGGAAGCAATCAATAGAGTGAAGAGACAATCTATGGAATGGGAGAACATATTTGGTTTTTTTTTTCTCCTCCTCCCCTGCGCCCCCAACTCCCATCCCATCCCCTTTCTGCTTCCCAGGGAAGGTGAGGCCTTCCATGGGGAGTCTTCAAAGTCTGTCATATCAATTGGAGCATGGCCTAGGCCCTCCCGCATGTGTCTAGGCTGAGAGAGTATTCCTCTATGTGAAATGGGCTCCCAAAGTCCATTTATATATTAGGGACAAATATTGATCCACTACCAGAGGCTCCATAGACTGCCCAGGCCTCCTAACTAACACCCATGTTCAGGGGTTCTGGGTCAGTCCTCTTCTGGTTTTCCAGCTATCAGACTGGGGCCTATGAGCTCCCCTTGTTCAAGTCAGCTGTTTCTGTGGGTTTCTGCAGCTTGGTATTGACCCCTTTGCTCATTACTCCTCCCTCTCTGTAACTGGGTTCCAGGAGTTCAGCTCAGTGTTGAGCTGTGGGTGTCTGCTTCTGCTTCCATCAGCTACTAGATGAAGGCTCTAGGATGGCATATGAAATAGTCCTTATATGCCATTATCAGGGAAGGGCATTTAAGGTAGCCTCTCCACTATTGCTTAGATTGTTAGTTGAGGTCATCCTTGTAGGGGAGAGCATATTTGTAAGCCACAGCTCTGCAAGTAAGCTAACATTCAAAATGCACACACACACACACACACACAACTAAATGGCAAGAAAATAAAGACTCTAAAATTGGTGAAAGGACTTAAATGGGTATTTACAAAAAAGAAAAATAATGAATAATAAGTATATGAAAAAATGGTACCTTGGAGAAAACTATATAATACTGTTAATTTTTGTTTGTTTTGTGATGCTGAGGAATCAAACCCAAACTTTGTATGTGGTAGGCAAGTTATTTATCACTAAGCAACATAAGCTGGGGGTCTCTCTATGTTGCCCAGGTTGGTCTCCAACTCCTAAACCTAAGTAATCCTACCACCTCAACTTCCCAAATGCTGGAACTATATGTACCCATGAGCTCTCCTGAATATTGCCCTTAATAAAAGAAAACTCTGCCATTTATGACAGCATGGATGACCCTGAAAGACATTGTTTATTAACCTAAACCCATGATCTCACTTATATAAAGATTCTTAGAAAGTTGTGTTGGTTGAAATGAATAGTAAACAGTGGTTGCAAGGAACTGAAGGATTTTCAAAGTGAGATAATGTTGGTAGAGGGGGGCACAGTGTCAGTGATGTTGTATGAGTAACTTTAAGATATACAATACACATCGTGGTGAATATAGTTCACAATACTACATCATATACTTTTAATAAGAAAATAGGTCTTAAGTGTTCTCACAATGATGAGTGTCTTAGGGTTTCTATTGCTGAGATGAAACATAATGACCCAAAGCAACTTAGGGAGGAAAGGGTTCATTTTGCTTACATTTCCATATCACAGTTCATCATCAAAAGCAGTCAGTACAAAAACTCAAACAGGGCAAGAACCTGGAGACAAGAACAGACACAGAGTCCATGGAGGAGTGCTGCTAACTGGCTTGCTCAGCTTGCTTTCTTATAGAAACCAGGACCACCAACCCCAGAGTGATATCACCCACCGTGGGCTGGGCCTTACGCCATCAGTCACTAATTTTAAAAATACCCTATGGGCTTACCTATAGTCTCACCTTATGGAAGTATTTTTTCAAGCGGGACTCCCTCCTCTCTGATGAATCTAGCTTGTGTCAACTGACACAAAATTAGCCAGCTATCATGGTATTGCTTGGCAGGAAGAATGGAATTAAAGGGCCCTTTGTAGCCATTGTCTTCCAGGCACCACTTGATACATGAACATTAACATGTCCGTTTCCTCTGAAACAAGTGATCATGTCAGTGGTCAGTGTCTTGGTAGACACAGGAAATCAAAGATTTCTAAAATGGACTCACAGTTCAAACACTATAATGAGAAGTCCCCCGGCTTACTGTAACTTATTTTCAAGTGTTGGACTACCACGACTAGAGTAAGATTAAACTCTAGCCTCTCAATAAGTGACAGCCACAGGTGGCTTGTGACTGATTGCAAGGTTAAAAAAGAACCAGTGACAGTGTTTAAACAATCGCAAACCTTACAAAGCTGGAACATAAATTGACAACAACCCACAGTCCGTTAACATCCCTTCCTCTCAGGCACATCTGAGTTCTAAGCCACCCAGGTCAACTATTCACTGAGTGCAAGGCTAACTAAATAGTATTCAGGTTAATGTTTGCCCTTGGTTGAAAGGAACCAGCTGAATACTGCATTCCAGCTCAAGGTTCACATCACCATGACAGGAAGGCAAGTTTTCATCCTTACAATAGGAACAAGGAACAAAGACGCTGGACACCAGGTGGTCCTTTTTCTGGTTTCTGACCTATGTGTGGGACTATTTTTCACTTGTTCTATTAAAGTGTAACTTCTTCCTCCCTGCCCTCCCCTCAGTACCTACCCTCCAGGTCACCTGCTGTGTCTTTTGGACTACAGTATGTTGTCCTCCTGATCCTTTTTTACTTCATTTTTCAATTGTCAGTAAGATCATGAACCTACAAAGGGGAATCTGTGCCCCAGATACACACACACACACACACACACACACACACACACACACACACACACTCCTATGTCATGAACATGACAATTATCTTGATTTGGGCATTTCACAATGTGTGCACTTACTGAAATATCACAATGTATACCACCAATAGTAATGTGTTCTGGAACCATTTAAAAAAAAAAACTCCTCCACTGCTGCAATATTTGGATATCACCTATCATGGTAGGTATTCTGTTTTACTTGTTTGTTTTGTTAAATTTGTTGGTGTTGGGGGGGGGGTTGATTTTTCTTTCTTTTTGTGGAAGGGCAGCCAAGACTGATTTTCCTGTCTCTACCTCACCCTTGCTGTGGTGAAATTTAAAATAAATGTAATTTTTCTTTAAAACTGATGTTTTAGGGTAGAATAGATAGTTCGTTTCATCGTGGTACATGTTCTGTGTGGTGCACAAAGAACTGTGCCCTCTGGAAGGAAGACCCACTCAGAGAAAGCAAATGTGACTGGAAAGTGATGCAACAGGAGAAGACAAAGGGGACACAGGAGGCAAAGACCACAGAAAGAAAAAGAGCAGAAGGGACAAATTAATCAGATGGACAAACAGCTCCCATCAAGGAGATGGGAGGGGCCCCTAAGGGCTCTGGACTGGACTTTAACTAGGTTCCCGAGGTCCTATGAGTCTTCCTCATTAGTTTTGCCTTTAGTAATTTACACATTTGGGAAAGGGTTAGGGAAAAAACTTCTCTCTCCCTCTCCTCTCCTCTCCTCTCCCTCTCCTCTCCCCTCCCTCTCCTCCCCCCTCCCTCTCCTCTCCCCTCCCTCTCCTCTCCTCTCCTCTCCTCTCCCTCTCCCTCCCCCTCTCCCTCTCCCTCTCCCTCTCTCTGGTTTTTCAAGACAGGGTTTCTTTGTGGCTTTGGAAGCTGTCCTGGAACTAGCTCTTGTAAACCAGGCTGGCTTGGAACTCATAGAGATCTGCCTGCCTCTGTTTCCCGAGTGCTGGGATTAAAGATGTGCACCACCAAAGCCTGGCTACCAGTGTTTTTTGTTTGTTTGTTTGTTTGTTTCTTTGTTTTTGCAGGCAGTCTCTGGTGTGGGTTGCAGGTTTTGTGCTGGGTGGTACTGACTACTTTTCTCCTCCAGCACTGTTCACAGTGTCTCCCAGCACCATGAATGTTACTTAGCAGCAGTGAAGCTTCTCTTTGAGCACCAGCTCAATTTCTTCATGTTCTATGACATAATTAAGTGGTATCTTCAGCAATAGGGTCTTAACCATCAGGCTGGGAATGACAACCAAAAGCCTTGGCAATAACTTGTGATGTTTAGGTGAGTCTGGGGACCCCTTTTGCCAACCACTCATCAAAATGTAACCCCTTCCTGACGTTATAGTTTTGGGGGGGCGTGGTTTGAGGGTAACCCCTTTAAGCTGGGTGTGCTTATGCACACCTGTAATCCCAACACTCTACAGGCTGCAGCAGGATGATCACAAGTTCAAGGCCAGTAATTCCCTATTTCAGACAAAACAAACTCAAAATCAAAAGGATGCTTCTTATTATTGTTGGGCCTTCCCATTCAGAATGAAAAATCATTTTTCATATCCCCTTAGTTGAAATGGCCTTCCTCAGAAGTCTCCTCATAGCTCCTATGACATCTTTGTTCCTCAGAGTGTAGATGAATGGATTAGCCATGGGAGTAATGACACAGTAAAACAAAGTCAAAACCTTGATGAGGTCTTGGGAGCCATCCTCTGAGGGTTGCATATAGATGTAGATACCTGGCCCATAAAATAAAGACACTACCAGCAAGTGAGATGAGCAAGTGTTGAAAGCTTTAAGTCTCCCAGCTGCAGAAGGAATTCGAAATACAGTTTGGGCAATGTAACTATAAGACACAAGTATCATGGAAAGGGGACCCATTATCAAGAATGTGGCCACCACTGATAAAGTAATCTCATTGACTGTGGTGTTCCCACAAGACATCTTAATAAGCCCAGGCAGCTCACAGAAGAAGTGGTCCAGCATCTGATTCCCACACAGGGGCAACTGTATGGTGAGTGTAGACTGTAGTAGTGAATTGGCTAGGCCAGTGAGCCAAGCAGTGCTTGACAGCTGCAGACAGAACCTGTGGTCCATGATAACAGAGTACCTCAGAGGCTTGCACACAGCCACATAGCGATCTAAGGCCATGATGCCAAGCAGAACACATTCTGTACAGCCTAGCCAATGGAACACATAGGCCTGGGCCATGCAGCCTATGTAAGTGATGTTCTTGTTGGGTCCCTGTAAATTAAATAGCATTTGAGGGACCGTTGTGGTGGTGAAACAAAGATCCAAAAATGAAAGGCTGGTAAGGAAGAAATACATGGGGCTTTGGAGCTGGGAATCCAGCTGAGAGACCAGAATAATAGCAATGTTTCCCAGCAACGTGAACGTGTAGGAGGTCAGGAGGACAAAGAAGAGAGGAAGATCCAGCCATGGATATTTGGTAAATCCCATGAGAATGAAATCTTCTGGGAAACCTCCATTGATGAGCTTCATTGAATTTTCAAAGGGGAGTGACCTGATAAAATCAAGGAAGAAACTGATGATTTGAAAGCAAGCAAGCAAACAAACAAACAAAAATCACAAGTTGGTAGAAATTCTGAAGACACTAGAAAAAAATGTACTTTTTATGGGTAAAGATCTGACATTTGATGTCCACATGAATCACAGCAATGCTAATAAATATAATAATTTATAGGGAACATTTCAAGCACCTGGATTGCTCTTCTTGGGGACAAAGCCGTTTTATACACTGCTTGCTTTCTTGCCCCCACTCTCTTTTACAAAGAACTTCTTCACTGAGGCATTTGAAAGCCCTGAACAAATAAGGCAGGGTTTGGGCAGTGTGGTAGGTGCCAGCTTCTCTCTCCACTTCTTTGTGTCAGCAGAAAAAAAAAGGGGAGGGGGGAACAACTTTTTGTATTGCTTAAAAATGTCTTCCATCTGCTGAAAGATACCAGCGGAAGATGGGCACTGTGTTGCTTTCCCTGAAACCTCGACGCTAAAGGAGTGCTGATTTAGAGTTACCAATCAGATGCTAGTCCCTAGGACTTGAATTTAATGGAATGATAATACAAAGGAATGAGGAAAGGAAAGGGGTTTCAGAAATTCAGAGCAGACCACCTCCTAAGTAACATCCCTGTGGCATCAGCAAAGGACACTTCTGCTCTCCCTGGACTACAATCTTGATTATGTCTTCCTTCTCTTCATTTCTTCCCCCTCCCCCACCCATTCTGTGAAGCACTGCTTTCCTAACTGTTTTTCTGCTTAAACTATTACAATCACTGTACTATTTACAACTAAGAATCCTGAACAATAGAGAAAACTGTACCAGAAAACAGGTTTAATATATTTCAGATCTCTTGTAAAGACTGATGGGGGAAGAATCTGAATGAGCATCTCCAGGGTATTGAGAGCACCATGGTACCCACTACCCACTTTCCCATTCTAGTAAAGGCAGTCAGTACTCCTCTTTTGTATGATAAAGTTGCCTTTCTTGAAATGTTATACCTCTCAGGAAAATGGAAAGATGACAGAAAAAGAAATATCTGCAAAAGGTGTAAGATTAAATACAGGACTGGCGATGTGGCCAAATGGTCCAGCCCTTGCCTAGTATGTGCAAAGCTATGAGTTCAATCAGCAATACTACCACCAAAACAAGGACTATTGCAATGAGGTGCCACCATACACCTCTTGAAATGGACAAAATTCAGAAGACAGACAAGACCAAGTGATAGACCAAAAATAATTCCAAATGCTAGAACACAGATAAGACCAAATGTGAAAACACAGACATGACCAAGGACTAGAACATAGAAAAGAACAAATGCTAGAACATAGGTAAAGTCCAGTGCTAGGGCAGACACAAGGACAAATGCTCAGGCAGACATAGGGCTGCAGCCATTTCCATTTGCTGCTGCTGAGATACGCAATTGTGCAGTCACTTGGAAAACAGGTCAGCAGATTCTTACAGCACTAAACATAAGCTGTCAAACTTAGCTAGAGACTTTGCCCCTTGCTATTCCCCAAATGTGTAGAAAAGTTACAACCACCTGAAAATTTGTACACAAATATTTACAACTGCCCCACTCATAACTGAAAATACTTAGAAATGACTGAAATATCCTTCAGTAGGTGATTATATTAATAAACCATGGTATATTTAAATAATAGAACATTATTCTGTACTAAAAAATGAGCTTTCGAGTCATGAAAAGATACCAGAAAAGGCAGTATGAGAAAGCTATATACTACACATTTCCAGAAGACTGTCATTCGAAAAAGGTGGCATTGTAGAGACATTAAAAAGCATTAAGTGGCTACCAGTGGCTGAGGGTTGTAACAATCATTGTAACATCAAGGATTTAGGACAGTAAAACTACTCCATAGCCTCTGTATGCACTACTCTGTAATGATGTATGTATACCGTGGTAAACTTATCCAAATGCACATGATATATGATACCAAAGGTGAATCCCAGTGTAAATTCTGGATTTGGGGTGATCCATCAATTTCCAGCTCATTGATTATAACAAATGTTCCTTTGTGGTAGGAGAAAGGGAAAGCTACACATGTGCAGAGGTAAAGAGATTATGGGAAATTTTGAACCTTTGCTCAACTTTTCTGTTAGCCTAAAATGACCCTAAAATAAAATTTTCAAGAAAAAATTCTCTCTGCCCATTGAGAAGATTATATGATAAATGAAGGTGAATCGTCCTTGTAGTCTGCATGATATGTATAAAAAGTCCAATCAGAATCACTTAAAAGACAAGCCTGAGGAAAAGATAATGCATTTGAAAATTAATGTAGCATTTTCCCAGTTTAGGACAGAGACATGGATACCACATGTGAGGATTAATCTGAGAAACCTTAGCTGAAGAAATTGCATGGGACTTTATCTTGACTAGAGAGATGTGTTTTGGTTTACTGGCTGAGTCTGTGGGAGTTGTTTTAACTGTTTCGTCTATTCCATGATTGAAATCTGATTTTGAAGAGACACACCTAAATGGTGTTGACTTGCTAGAATCCCTACAGTGTGTGGTGGAGGGCACTGAGAGACCTGTACAGACCCCCAGACCTCTATGATTAGCTAGTAGCAAGCTCCATTCTCTGACCCCCAGGCAGGCTTTGTACAAGTGAGACATGACCACAGACCACAGAGTATTTTCACTGTCAATTGATCACAATGCACAGGCAATGAGGACAGTGGCTCCAAAGGGAAAATCATCCACAACCACGACTATATCCTTACTTAAACTGTTTCAAATAAGTGACACAGGGCAGTGAATCTATACGAAGAACCTTCTCTCCGTAAAGATCAGTTCCCAGTGCAAGACATTTTAGTTCTGTTATCAGTTCTGTCTTCATAGTATACAAAGAAAAATACTTTATATAAAACATGATGAGTAGCTCTACATTCATTCATGTAAGGCAAGACACAGCTACCAAAGACATGATCAAATGAACTAAGTGACATAATGAACATAATGACAAATTTTCATTCTGGAATGGAGAGGCTACCTTAAATGCCCTTCCCTGATAATGAGAATGATGACTACCTTATATGCCATCCTAGAGCCTTCATCTAGTAGCCGATGGAAGCAGAAGCAGACATCCATAGCTAAACACTGAGCCAAACTCCTGGAATCCAGTTTCAGAGAGGGAGGAGTGATGAGCAACATGATCAAGACCAGGCTGGAGAAACAAAAAAGAGCTGACCTACACAAGGATCCCAGTCTGATAGCTGGGAAACCAGCATATGACTGACCCACATGCCCTGAACCTGGATCTCAGTTAGAAGGATCCTCTCTTATTTGTTTAAAAAAATGATTATTGGGCCAATCACTGTTGCTGGGTATTTGGATGCAGCAGGAAAAACAAAACAAAAAACCTTATCTTTCTCTTTTGAAGGGATGAAAGAAGCTATCTCTAGAAAAGGAAGAGTAATGGAATAATGAAGTTAAGGGCAGGGTATGCTGACTTTGTATTGGTAGCTGTGATAAAACATGACCAGAAGCCAGAAGTCACTGTCTTGTATTAACTGTGTTCTTTTCTAAGACTTATGAGAAACTTGGAGGAACATGAAAAGTTTGTAGAACTCATCAGAAGTGATAAGTGAGAAAAACTGATCAGCCAGGTGGCTTGACAGGGGAGGAGACAGGGGCCATGTGAATTATTTTCAGGGGGTGTTAAATTTGATGATTTCATGTTTTGACGTGGCATTTAATAGGTTGCATCATGTGACTTTAAAAGTGGGCATCAGCTGAGTGTTCCTGTGAAACGAATCCTTGAAATTCTGACTTGTAACTTATCTCTTGGGAGAAAGAGAGATAAGGAGAGAAAGAGATATCGGTTTCAGATATGGTATATATAATGCAAATATTTGTCTCTGCCAACTAAAATTATAATGAAAGAATGAAAAATATAATTTCATCATGAAAAGGAGGATGAGAAGGGAGATGACAGAAAAGAAATAATATCAATGACATTTGAAAATTAGAAAGCAAACAATTGCATACTAATGGACAAGAAAGTAAAAGCCTTGGGCAGTGATGTAGAGATTCAGCAAGCAAGTAAAAGAATGGTGATTCTAGAAAGCAGACCTTTGAGGGGACTGAATTAAAAACAATGGATTGCCAGACATAGTGGCTCGCAATTATAATGCCAGCACTTGGGAAGCTGAAGCAGGAGAATCACCCTAAATTCAAGGCCATCCAGGATTATATAGTGAGTTCTAGATTGGCTGGGGCCACAGAGTGAGACACTGTCTAAAAACCCAAAAAGCAAAGCAAAAAAAGCAGAGTACTGTCTGAGGTTGTCTGAAGGGCTGTACTAAGGAGTCTCAGAGCTTCAGATACCAGTCTCCTCTGCTACCCACTGCTGTTCCCCTGCTCTGCCTGGGAATAGGGCAGTGTGGTTTACCCCTCTGCAAGGATGAGCTAAGGACATCTAGACTCCAGGCAAACATGAGACCAGGAGTAGAGAAACTGACAACAGGACAATTCAATAGCAGTTTCTCTGGTTCTGCTTAGTTTGTTATTTTGAAATGGGGTTCAACTTTGTAGCTCAAGCTGTCCTGGAACTCACTATGTAGCCGAGACTGACCTTGAACTCAAGCAAATCCTCCTGCTTTGGTTTCCCAAACGCTGGGACTGCAGGCATGAGCCACCACACTTGGCTCAAATTCATTGAGAAGTGAAAAAAAAATTCATGGATTAAAGCTTGTGTTATTAAGAAATATGGGTAAGTAGGGACTGAAGACATGGTTCAGTTGGTTAAGTGCTCCCTGTCCAAGCATCAGGACTAGTGTTCAGATCACAAGTACCTGTGTGGAAAAGCTGGGCATGGTGCTGCATGCTGTAGTCCTAATGCTTCAAAGACAGACAGGAAAGGCCCTACAGACCAGCAGCTAGTTTTTCCAAATCAGCAACTTCCACATTCAGTGAAAGACCTGATCTCAAAAAATAAGGTGGTGCGGGCTTGAAGAGATGGCTCAA